AAGCACTTAGGCCACATTTCATTAAAATATATATACACCCCTGAGAAAAATGACTTTTGCTCTCTCCAAATGAAAAATTGCTCTGCAATACCAAAAGATTGACAGAAAAAAAAAATTGAGTACTGCTCTGAAGGAGAGGCAAGCTTGCACCAGAACATGACAACCCACTTTAGAAACTGCTGTTCTGCAGAGGTAAATGTGTGCATCATTGGAGATGTATGGAAGATGTCTTTGGATCTGTCATCAACACCAAACTGTTCCATCATAGCAGGCTGCCACAATATGTACACCACAAAATTTCCTACAGCAGTGAACTATGGGATTTCTGCTGAACAATTTTGTCCCTTCACACATGCCATCAGGAAATCCAAAATGGAGCTCAAGTGTAAGAAAAGGCTGTTGAAAATAGGGCACAGAAGAGGATAAACAGGACGTTAATAAGAAAGTTGGATTTGTACACTTATTATTTTTATAAAAGATACATTAAAATCATCATATTGGCCTATAGCACTGCAGTCTTCTTGTCCTTTATTTTTCTACTTATTCAAGCTATGACTCTTCTCCAATAGAGACACCAAACACAAAAAATGTGGTTTTGCACATCCACAAGGGAGAAAAGGAATAACCAGTGTTACACTTTCACATGTGGAACACGTACTTCATTAACTCAAGTTCAGAAGTTACACACAAGGAACTCAACAGGGCTAGAAAGTCTTAGGAGACTAGCCCTGGAAGAGGCACAACACATTTGCATGCATTCCAGATGAATAAACCACTCATGCAGTTTTATCTACCAGTTTTTCCTAGATTGCTTCTTTATCAGTTGATTAGCAAGAAACCAAGCTGCTTGGCAAGAGAAAAAAAAAAAAAAAAAAAAAAAAAAAAAAAAAAAAAAAAAAAGAAAAAGAAAACAACAAAAAAATCCAAAACCCAAAGAAAACCAAGGGAAAACTTCTAACCTTCGCTTCCGAAGAAATCTTGACAAATAGTAAAACTGATCTGCTTTTATTGCTAGCTGTTTAAAAATTATATGCATCCTTTAACAACCTACTTATACAGTAGCAGAGATGGAAGAAACTAATCTATACAGATCTCACATTAAGATTTTTTTTCCAATAATGATTTAAGAGTCTACCTTGGACCATGTGCAGTATTTAATACAGAACCATTTGACCAATCTACTGCAGGGAGACAGAATAATCCAGTAAATACTTCTCTCTGTAAGCATTAGCATATTTGAAATATAAATATTTAAGCATCATGACACCGAAGTTTCTAATAACAAACATAAGGCATAATTATATCATAACTAAAGCTAACAATAGTTTTTTACTTAAATCTTCGGCTTGCCTGCTGCTAGCTAAGGTTCCAACAAGCCCTCTACTGCTATATTTCTCTGGCAACATGTTCCATCTTCGAGGGTTACTTTTTCCATTATCAAGGCAAAGAATTCACCTGCTTCTTTGGAGTACAGCCAATGAATCTTTCTTATGATGGTCAATAGTGAAAAGATTCACTTTTCATTTTATGGTAAACTAGACATTTATGTCCTTGTCATGACTGCTTCCTGTGGAAAAAAGAAGGGTGCTTCACAGGTTGTGATAAAGAAGAACAAACCAGAAAAAATAATTTCTTTTCCTCCACCCTCTTCATGATTCTTTCCTTTGTTTTCTTCCTTTTTTTTATTTAATCCTTTTTTCCATGTCACTGGCTCAGCTTTACACATTTTAATGCAGCTGACAAAAACTTCTTATATACAAAAAAATATTTCACAATCTCACATGCTAATACAATGTAAAAATCAACCATGAAAACCAACCTTATATCAACCAATAATCACAATTACTGGCTTAGCTTACCTAACAAAGATCTGATTGAGGAGACTCAAAAATTGATCCAATTTCACAGCCTACACAGACTTTCTGGTGGGCTTTTTATTTTTTGTTTAAAGAAATACTATAGTCCTTGTCTATTGTCTCCACTTAAAATAAGACACATCAAGCCAAAGAGTCTGAAAAATCAACAGGAATTTCTGTAGTAGTTGGCATTAATCCATATCCTAGCACAATGCCACTATAGTACTGTTTAACTTTCTCAGATTTGGTTTGTTCACAGTTATATTTCACCATACTCACTAGAACTAGCCAATTGTGAATTGGTAGCCTAGAAAAATCCAAAGTATGACAGGTAAGAGCTGCAGTCACTTCAGTTTAAATCATATTCCAGCATCACTCCACACACACATTTTAATGCATTAAAATAACCACCTTAATCTTTATGTACACTAGGATCAGATCACCCAGCGAACACTGGGAATTCAAACTGATGTAAAAAACTGTTCTCTGCAGACATTGGCACCCTTTCCAGAGGTTCTCTGAGGGAAGCTTTAATTTGTGCTTAGGGCTTTGTGGCAGCCCTACCAGCAAAGGTGCCTTGGGGACTCGCTGTGACACACAGCCATGTGTATGTGCAGAGGCCACACTAGTCACAGGTAAGACAGATAAATCAAATGGTAGCATCCCCCCATCAGCTTTTCTATTATCTGCCCCACTTTGTGCCAATTTCCTCTAGCTTCCCCAACACCTCTTGCTTTGCTGTTCTTCCTTAAGACGTGGGATGGGGATTTGTCAAAGTCAATGAGCACTTTATTACAGTGAGAGCGCTCAGTAATGAACAATTCAGCAATTTAATGAGATTCTGTAGATCTGTCTCCAGCCTGTCCATCAAGTTTCACTTCTATAAAGCACCCTGACACTAATCCTCTGGCATACCCAATCTTCACCCTGGGCTGAATATTAGATTCTTCCATGGTATATTGCATTACCACTATAACCTTAGCAAAAAATGATGAACTTAACTACACTTGAGGCAATATAGCTGGTCTGATTTGATTTTCTTCTATTGGGTTGACTATGAGGGAATTACTTATTTACTAAGATAAAGCAAGAAACCAGTTTCTTATTGCCTTCTGAATGCCCAAATTGGTAAATATTTATATGTGTCTTTTAATCCATTCTAGGGACCTGGAATATTTATAAATATATATTTATTCCTGGTTTCACAAACTGAATTAAAAAGATGCATGCACATTTTGCCTGCAGCAGAAAGCTAGTTTAAAAAAAATCTTCGGAACAGCATTAGTAACCATTAGAGAGCAAATATGGTAACTCTTAAATGGACAGTGTGGAGTTTGTTGTCACTCAGAAAGCAGCATATTATCTATAAATATCTCTCCCCAGTGTGACCCTGCAACAGAAACAGAGGCTTTGTCATATTTGCCTCATGAAGTACTCATTGACTGGAGTGCACACAACGAAAATTACTTCCAAGTCTGAGTCCTTCTTGCAGAACAGGACAGTTAGACAGGATTTAAAAACTCCCACTTCCCAAACATCATTACAGCAGGTTACAGAGGGTGTATTACTGAGCAAGTATTAAGTTATACTTGTATGGCTTCCCACAGAAACTCTTCTAGCAAGAGCATACCCAAGCATGTAGCTAGGGGATTCCACTGGCCATGCAGAGAAATTATGATGAAACCAAATCAGCCAATCATCAATGCTCTATGCATAAACTTTTACATCAAAACTTGTTTCTGATAAAGGGAATATGGGCTAAAACTCCAGTGTGGTGTGCCTGAAAAACCTAAACCAAACACAGCCCATCATCCTGTGTAGTGTACTGCAGGTTCGGTTGTGCAGGCATCCTCCAGAGACTAGGACAGGAAAAAGCCAAATTTTATTTTGGTATTTGCAGCAAATATAAACTTTGTAATGTACTCCATAATCTAAAGCCTCCAAATTTTGGAAAAAAATATGCCTGCTACAATACTGGAGGGTTACGTTACATCTTCATACTGGTTTTTTGGTTTGAAGAATTTAACCTGACATTTTTTTAAAGAATAAATATTTTACCCTGCATGACATTATTCATCCATAGAACATGAAGCATCTCACTGATGAATATACACTTAACACTTTGAGAAACTGATGACATCTACATGTTATTTTCTTAGAATAATCCAAAAGATAAATAGATAAATAACAGGTGTTGAAATATAAATCAGTCCTCTGAATCACATTCTCTATTGGACCAATATAACCCACTTCCTAAAAGGAATGCATAGGTTTATTTTCAGCAAGTTTCCTTCTATCTTGAAATACACAGAAATATTTTCCTCTCTAAAGCATGACAGCAAAAAAAAGAAACAGAAAGACATCTTTGGATAATCAATATTACAGAGGTTTCCTTCCACTTCATAGTGAATTTTTACAGACATACAATGGGAACATTTCCAAGGACAGATTTTGGTTTACTTTTTGTGTTTCTCTTAATAGTCTATGTGTTTTTCTCACATTAGATTTTCTCCCAGCCCATACACACTAAAGGTCACAACACAATGTTATCTTGTTAATACTTCATGGCTAGCAACCTGGTCCTTTTCAAGATCCAGCTTTTTAAAAGGAAGTGATCTCAGGCTTCTTGCCACAAACCTTCCATTGAAGCCTCCAGTCATCTTGGAGCAGAGCTGCGTGTGTGATGATTCATTTACTTCAGGCAAAGTCAGCTGAAGTGGCCCAAACAATTTCAATGACTATTGAAGTTATACAGCTAAATTAGTCTGAAGTGAATGAGAGAGACTGCAGAAGCAGTTTTGCCACCAGACCCATGGCACTAGCCTCTTCAGAGGCAATTATAATTGAGTTGCATGCATCAGCCATCTCTTTCCATCAAAGAAGTTGAATCTGGAGGAAAATCTCTGGCTGTATTTAAGTAGCAGAAGTTAAACAGCATGACAAATTTATCTTTCAAACAAAGTAATTGCATTAACACAACACAACATTTTTAGAATTTCATTTAGAAATTTCCCTCAGTTGTTATTCACAGTTTTTGCTCAAGTGCTTATTCTCCCTCGAGATTGCTCCAGGGTTTCAAAACAACAGATTACTGCTATGGTTTATAGAGTGTCACACATTCTGGTTGTTCACCAATCTCCTTACCTGCCAGATTTGTTCTTCACTGAGTGAAGTGAGTCTATCGCTTTTAAAAACCTCTCGAAGAAGACAGTATGGGAGTGCCAGAACTTCTTCAGGATGACTCTTCAATAGCTCAGAGAGATGTTTTACTAAGAAGCCAATGACTGCATTCTCCAACAAAGTGAGGTTGAAAAGATCCGCAAGCTTGTACAGGTCCAAGTAATTAAAACTATTTAATTCCTAAATGGATGAAGCAAACAAAATACACATCACAAAAATATCACAAGCACGAAACAGAGAATATAAAAATCCACAGATCTCAGATAATGAAAAAAGGTTATTCTTTTGGAGCTATGGAGAAGGAAGGCAATATAACTTGAAGTTAATTAACACAGCCTCATTCAAAATGTATATGTAAGTGTTACCAGTGCATATGCAAATAAATATTATAGTACTAATTTATATTGCAACTCCTAAGGTTATATATGCATAAAGCATCTGTAAGAAATATGGTTAGTACATAATGTAATAAACCACCATGATTTACACTGTACGTCAAGAGCTCACAGGAGCTAACAAGTGGATTTAAAAAATGTATTTCTTAACTACAATGGTTTGTTACAAAGCAATTGTTTGTTCATTATTTACTGTTTTGATTGAAGTAGAGAACCTGTGTAGCACTTTTTGTTCTATGAAACCTCACAAAATACAAGATCCTGAGCTACATTTCATTAGGTATTAATTTTTCTTCAATGAACAAATGAACCCTTTATTTTTTTCCCAGCCCTTACTGGCATCAACATATAATGGATTTTGGCCTCCTACTCCTTCTCCCTCTCCATCTAGCAGCTGAAAATGTGAGGAGACAAAAGCTATAGTAGCTCAAGGCAGGAAGCTTTGTCCATCCTAGTAACAGAGGACTGATATTTATGGGCTAAATGTTTTCAACTTGGCATCCCTCATAAATTAGTATCTAGACAGCTAACTACTGCTGTTCTAGACCACATTGCTTCCTCCCTTCAGGGAATAGGCCAAGAATCCACATCTATTAGATGAAAGTACCCAGGGCACCTGGGAAATAATCATGTTTACCCGTTTTCTCTGTTCTTGCTGCATGCTCTCTTCCTCTCTCCTCCGCAATCCTGGTTTTCATCTTCCAATTTACCGCATTACTCCCTATCAGCCGCCTTCTCCTTGACCAGCCCCATGTGTGAGAATGACAAGGAGCCTCGTCAGTCTCACTTTGCCGGTGAGTTAACACGGGGACTGGAGCAAGGAAGAGAAACAGACTAAATTAAGTCAATTTCACTTTCACTGCTCTGCTGGATGGAATGGCAGCACCAAATGAAACTGACAAGAAATCTTGTAAATGTCAAATGAGCTGCACGGCTGGCAGATAGAGCAGAGCAACAGGGAAGATGGGAAAGTGCGAAGAGGGGTTTTTTTGGAATGTTTTATGGACTACATCTTGAACGTGTGAATTGGGTGCCTGTCCCGATGACTGTGGAGCTGTTTATGCATATGCAATGGAGAGTGGAGAAAGAATTTTTTAACCTGCTTAGAGGAGTCAGTACTGGAGGAAATGGAATCAAATTCCTGTGGAGGTTCCTGCTTGTTACATAATCTCCCAGTCTGAACAGTGCACCTTCCCTAGCAGAGTTGTACACTAAAGATAAATCCTATTCATTATCTACTTAGACTTCTGCGTAAGAGTTTCCCACGGTTTTCTTGGAAGAACAAAGGTAAGTTCTTTACACTGTCAGAAAAAGCACTAACAGCCATCATCCCAAAAGCCACAGCTATTCTAGTGTCAGCTCCTCCTCACACTAACACAGAGGAGGTAAGGATAAAACTGCAGTTGAAGAAAGAGAAAAGAATGAATTTTACATGAGAAGTATCTGGTCTGTGCGCTTGCTTGGTGATTTAGTAACTTCAGATCACAGATGGCACCTCACAACCCCACTCCTGTGATGGCCATGGCAATGGTGGCAACAACACACAGGAGTCTAATCAAAGCAAACATCACAGTATTTGACAAGGAACAACTGCAGTTTATTGTGTCTGGTTCAAAAAAACTATCTTTTCAAAGAACTTGCTGATTGAATAAATCCCAAATGCCAGAAGGAAATTTAGAAGAGCTCAGCATGTATTTATTGAGCTCTTTTGTGGTCAATGGCTATGTCTAGGGACATAAATAAATAAGTGATTAAATAATCAAGTACTGTGAGCTGAGGATCAACAGTCCCACTAAAATACATGCCTGGTCAAACCCCACTGAGTGTCAGTTGAGGAGAGGTGGCTTTTAGCAGACTTCAGAGGAGGAAAATACTGGAGATTTCATAATAGAATCCTTATTAGAGAGTAATGAGACACACAAATGCAATCTACCCCTGAAAAATACTCACATCTTTAGTGAAATCTGAATGACACCGGTAAGCCTTCATTTTAGGTTTGGATATTTTTCATGAACTCTAAACTCCCCTAGCCTCTCAAATCAGCAGCAACTGAAGTTGCTTTTATGAAAGCTGTCTTAACAGTTGAAGAGGCCAAATATACTTATGGGTGTATAAACAAAATCTCACCAGTTATTTATACTGCATGTAATAATTTATTTCAGATGTTTATTTATGTATGTGTTTGTTTATTTATTTATTATTTGTTTTGTGTTTACTTATTTTCAGTGCTAAATTTCAGATGATTTTTGATGCTTCCTAACATAATGCATTAGTTACCTGCTGAACTTACAGTCTGCTTCTTAATGAATACTAAAAGTGTGTTTTGTTAGAACTGGCCTTGGCCTGGAATCAGTAATGTTCATTTCTGATCACATAACTTTGCTCTTATAAATGGTGAAACTTTCCAAAATAGTCTAAAATGAAGTATGTAAGTTAGTTGCAAGAAAAATGCACCTTATCGTCTAGCTTTAAAGAAGTCCCACAGGAAGGATCAAAGCCATCACTGTCAGCTCAGCCTGATTTGAATAGATTTTTCATCCTAAAACCTTAATTGAATTAAAAACTTTGGTAAATAGTGAAATAGGTTACTAAACAGGAAATTTAGGCGTGGTCATGAGTAAGAGTACTGGCAGTCTATGCCTTTCACAGATATCATTATATTGCATGAACTGAGCAACTACAAAATTTTGAAGTCGTGTGAGACTGACTTTCTTGTGGTACTGTACTGAAGTAAATGTTCTTTGAGAACACGCAATACAAACCAGGATCATGTACATTTTAAAACTTTTAACCCTTTTTTCATAAACTTTTATGCATACACTACTTATCTTTTCTCAGCTGAAAGATGAAATATGAACACAAGCAGAGCTGTCACTAAGAACTGAAGGTAGTGATCCTATCTCTTCTAATATGATGTATGTTACACTGCTGAAACACATCCAGGCTAAGAAAATATGTATAAAATTATACATACAACACTTAAAACTAAGTTGAAATAGTTCTGAAATCTCACAGTAAACTCAAAACAAATTGGCCAAAATATTTATCAGTGTCTGCTTCTAAAATAAGAAACTACCTCAGATCCTATGCATCCTATGTAGTGTGCATCCCCCCACTGAAGCGAGGGAATCTATTACTCCACACTAAGGGTCTTCTGATTCAGTAGTATCAGCCTTCGGATGCCAAACCAATTCAACAATGAGCTGACATTTAAAAGCCTCATAAAAGAAAATATGTTCTACAAACAAACATAATCTGAAAGATGACAATATTAAATATTCAAAATAAACGATGTGACAGTGTGAATATTTTGATAGAGTTGTATTTTAATATAGAGATATGATAAATTGTCAAACAGGAAAAATAGATATAAACATTGTGTTTAAATTGCTTCCAAAACCATCTTTATTCGTTTGTACTTTAAAGAATAATTGCCTTGCACAAGCCACAGAAAAGGATGTAACAGATTGATAAATTAGAGTTAATCATAACCAAGTACACAGCAGACTACAATATACCTCTATTCCTGTGCTCCGTGTTATAAATAGCAGAAAAAGCACAAGGAGAACTAAGGGGAAAGAATGCATTTCTTTATGACCTTATTTGAAAGATAAACTCCTTGGGGAAATACAATTTATTCAGATTATCAAGACCCTGCTGTGCAAATCTACAGTCTGGGAGCACACTACAGAGATCAAACAATATTTACTTTATTCTGTTGGGTATAAAAGCTTTTAATGAATGCATAATTAAAACAGCAAAAGTATATACAGCTTTAGAATTCCACTTCCAAGCCAAGCCATTAATATCCAAAGTACCTTAACCAGTTGTAACTCCACCTGTTTCCTAGATTGCAACACTGTTCTAAATCAAGGTATTAAATGACTAGCCCTGCTGCTGTAGCAGAGAAGAGTTGCATGGTGACACTATTTCCCTCTTTTCTAAAAGG